CCCCCCGCTTCTGTGGCCAGAGCGGAGCCGGTTTCCACCTGGCCGCAGCGGAGGAGTGGCGGCCTCTGCACCTGCTTGTGGAGTCTCTGCCTGCTCCACGTTTGGCTCAGGCTGTGCGCGTGCCCGTAATCCCCCGTACGAGCAGAAGGCAATGCTGACACCCTGGTAGGGGAGTCCAGCCGCTGGCTGTTTTCTGGTGTGGGCGATGGGCCCGCCTGTTGGTTCCTGTGCTGTGGCAGCACCCGTGCCAGTGTGGCTTTGGCAGCAGGCATCGCGAGGCCCACGGCACTGGCAGGGTTGGTGCTGGAGGGCCCTGCCCCCTGGAAAGGGCCGTGCTTGCCTGGAGCGCCCTTATCCTGCCCCACGGCAGAGGGCCGGCTCTTCCCACCTGCAGCCCCCTTTGCTGCCTTGGGGTGCCGGAGTTGTGGAGAGGAAGACGTGGCGCACGGGTGCTCTTTTGGCACTCAGACCAGGAAATGTCACCGGGAGGTAGCAGGGGAGTGATTGGGGCTTCAGTGCCCACAGTGGGCAGGGCTGGGTCAGGGTGAGGCCAGCCTCTTCCTGCAGGGAGAGAGACGGAGAAGCGGCGAGGGAGGTGGCGCCTGGTTCCCTGCCAGCCGGGAGGGCACACTTTGTGTTCTGTTCGTGATCAGAGTTATGGCACGCGGCCTACTGGCGATACGAAGACCCCCCAAGGGTGGGAGGGTTCAGAGGACTTTCCCCCCATTTTGCTAATGGAAAAATTAACATTTTGGGCAGCCCTGGAAAAAATCTCCACAAAGTATACTAGATACTAGGTGTCATTAGCAGGTGATCATTCCTACGTATATAGCATATTTATTGTTCAAATGTGACTAATTTTTCACAATTAACATGCATATGGTGATAAAACATTGTTTAGTGCGGTCAGTTTTACAAAGTTGGCATTGAAATAAGCTGTATGCCTGTTATTACTGAATGAGGCTGTTTCTGGCCAGATAAGACTTCCAGTACGATAAAATTCTCTGTTCTCTGTGTTCAAATTTCATTTTTTCCCCTACCTCTCAAATGATAAAAAGTAAGATTTATCTGCTAATGTAGTGGAAAGTCCAACAGTTTCCAACCTCCCCTTCCTTTAGTAGTGGGCATGGTCAGAATGTTTTGTTGCAGAAATCAAAGTCATTTATATTTAAAAATTGTCATAATTCTGTCAAATAGCACATTTATGCTGACGATGTTATTAATGATGCTTTTTTATGGTGTTAAAGCAGGAAAAAAGTTTAGGCTTGATGAGTAAACATTGCATATGTTTGTGTTTCCTAATATGCCCGTTGCTTTCCAGTAAGAAGGGGGCAGGGTCGGTTTTTTAATCTTTGGCTTCAGCAGAATGTCCCTAACTTCCTGGCGTCTGTGCCCAGGGCCCCCCCCCCCCGTGCTGATGTGGCAGGCGGGGGAGTGGCTTTTTCTGTTTGGATTGTCAGTTTGCACACACACACCCCGTGCCTAACACCCTTCCTCCTTGCCCCTCCTCAAGTATCTTCAGGGGGCAAAGACTCGCACTCTTTTTGATGGGGCCTGAGCCCCGAAGGCCTCTCTTCTCCTTCCGTGTTGGACTCAGGTTGCCCTCGAAGCTGTTGTCATCCATCTGGGCCACCTGGAAATCCGTCCCATCTTACTCGCGTTTCCACGTGCTCGGTGTGGTGTCCCCGGCCTCCTCCCGCTACCTGCTCGGTGTGGTGTCCCCGGCCTCCTCCCGCTGCATGCTAGGCGGTATCCTCTCCCTGCAGGGATGTCTTGGGAAGTGGGGAATGGTGGGCAGGATGTGGGCTCGCCAACTCCTGGTTTTGGGATTCCTGGAGATTTGAGAATGGAGCTTGGTGTTTGGGGAGGGTGCTTAGTGGGGGTAGCCATCTTCTCCAGGGGAGCCGGTCGCTGTCCCCTGTAGAAAAGTCATACTTTCAGGAGATCTTTGAGCAACCCAAGTGCTGGGACGTCTCGAGAGCCGGGAGTGCAGCCAGGTCACTCAGTGAGGGGGGGGGAACATGTGCTGATGTCGTCTCTCCCCTCCCGCCCCTCTTGCTTCTCTGGGCTCGGAGGGGAAGGACTCTGCCCTGCACCTCAGCCCTGAACATAAGGACATACGAGAGAAGCCAGTGTTGGATCAGGCCAGTGGCCCATCCAGTCCAACACTCTGGGTCACACAGTGGCCATCGATACTAGGTGTCATCAGGAGGTCCAGCAGTGGGGCCAGGAGGACACTAGAAGCCCTCCCACTGTTGCCCCCCCCCAGGCACCGAGAATACAGAGCACCCCTTGCCCCAGAGCCCCTATCCATATCTTGTGGCTAATGGCCACTGATGGACCTCTGCTCCGTATGCTTATCCGATTCCCTCTTGAAGCCGTCCATGCTTGTAGCCACCACCACCTCCTGTGGCAGTGAATTCCATGTGTTCATCACTCTTTGGGTGAAGAAGTACTTCCTTTTATCCGTTCTAACTTGACCGCTCAGCAATTTCATGGAGTGCCCACGAGTTCTTGTCTTGTGAGAAAGGGAGAAAAGTACTTCTTTCTCAGCCTGCTCTGTGCCATGCATCATCTTATAAACCTCAATCATGTCACCCCTCAGCCGCCGTTTCTCCACGCTAAAGAGCCCCAAGCATTTTAACCTTTCTTCACAGGGAAAGTGTTCCAACCCTTTTATCATTGCCCTTTTCTGCACTTTTTCTAATACTATAATATCCTTTTTGAGGTGTAGTGACCAGAACTGTACACAGTACTCCAAATGAGGTCGCCCCATTGATTTATACAGGGGCATTATGATACTGGCTGATTTGTTTTCAGTTCCCTTCCTAATAATCCCCAGCATAGCGTTGGCCTTTTTTATTGCAGTTGCACACTGTCTCGACATTTTCAGTGAGTTATCTACTACGACTCCCAAGATCTCTCTCTTGGTCAGTCTCTGCCAGTTCAGACCCCATCAATGTGTATTTATAGTTAGGATTTTTTGCTCCAATGCGCATCACCTTGCACTTGGCCACATTGAACCCCATTTGCCACGTTGACGCCCACTCGCCCATCCTCGGAATATCCCTTTGGAGTGCCTCACAATCCTCCCTGGTTCTCACCACCCTGAACAACTTCATGTCATCCGCAAATTTAGCCACTTCACTGCTTACTCCCAACTCCAAATCTTTAACAAACAAGTTAAAAAGCATCAGACCGAGTACTGATCCCTGCGGTACCCCACTGCTTACCACCCTCCACTGAAAAAATTTCCCATTTATATTCACTCTCTGTTTCCTATTAATTAGCCAGTTTTTGATCCACAAGAGGACTTGTCCTTTTATCCCGTGGCTATTGAGCTTACTTAGGAGCCTTTGATGAGGAACTTTATCAAAAGCTTTCTGGAAGTCAAGGTAAACAGCATCTGTTGGGTCCCCCTTGTCCACATGTTTGTTCACCCCCTCAAAGGACACTAACAGGTTAGTGAGAGAAGATCTTCCTTTACAGAACCCCTGCTGAGTCTGCCTCAATAGTTTCTCCTGCTGCTGTTCTGGAGGGGTCCCCTCGGCCCGTGCAGCCCCAGTCCCTTGGCAGTGCTCGGCTGCATGTCCTTCTGGCTCTCTGCTTCCTCTTGGCTTCCTTCCCCGTCTCCTCCTCAGGCCCGTGGGTGAGGCACGGCCAGTCAGGCTCAGGGGCAGCCCAGGTGCTCAGTGGGCCTTCTCTCCCTCTGCGCTGGAGCCCCCTCCCTCCCTCCCTGTCGCGGGGAAGGGCTAGCGTTCGAGGGAGTCCGCCTCAACCGGGGGGGGGGGCCGAGAGGGCAGCTGGGCCCCCTCCCCCCCTCAGACCAGCTCACTTAGAACCATAGAACCACACAGCGTTGGAAGGGGGCCCCTACAGGCCGTCCAGCCCCCACCCCCTGCTCAGTGCAGGATCAGCCCAGAGCATCCCCCCGACAAGGGTCTGTCCAGCCGCTGCTTGAAGACGGCCAGTGAGTGGGAGCTCTCCACCTCCCCGGGCGACTGATTCCACTGTGGCACAGCTCTGACCGTCAAAAGGTTTTCCCTAATACCCAGCCAGTACCTTCCCGCCCTTAGTTTAAACCCATGATTGCGCGTCCTCTCCTCTGCTGCCCACAGGTTACAGCTCCCTGCCCATCTCTCAGCGACACAGCCCCTCCAATACTTCATGGGAGCAGTCATGGCCCCCCTTCAGCCTCCTCTTCTCCAGACTCAACATTCCCAAGACGTCCCTTGGCCTTTCCTCAGTGGGCTTCTTGGCCCCCAGGCCCCCCCCCCCCGATCACCCTCGGCGCTCTCCTCTGCACCCGCCCCGTTCTGCCCACATCCTTTTTGAAGCGAGGCCTCCAGAACTACGCACAGGACTCCAGGCGCGGCCTGACCAATGCAGTGCACAGCGGGACGATCACATCTTGCAATTTGGCTGTTATGCCTCTGTTGACACACCCCAAGATCGCAGTAGCCTCTTTTGTCGCCGCCTCAATCTGGCTGCTCATGTTTCACTTCCGGTCCACCCGTACCCCGAGATCTTGTTCACACACACACACACACACTGCTACCCAGAAGTGTATCCCCCCATCCAGTATACGTGTTCCTCATTTTTGTTACCGTATGTAGAACTCAACACTTACCCTTGTTAAATGGCATTTTGTTCACATCCGCCCAGTTTTCCAGCGTGTTCAGACCTCGTTGAATTTGCTGCTGCTCCCAATTTGGTGTCATCGGCAAATTGAATGAGTAGCCCCTCCACACCCTCATCCAGATCATTTATAAAAATATTGAAAAGTACCAGGCCCAGACCCGAGCAGAGCCGCCCCCACTGCCCTGGGTTCGTTGTCGTGGGAAGGTTTCCTTGGAGAGCAGGGGGTCCATGTGGGGGCCTGCTGAGGGGTTCATTCAGTCCCTGCGGCCTGCTGGGAGAGGTGGGGGGAGGGCCCGGAGAGGGA